TTATTTCTTATAGCATAACTATGTACATTAATGCAATCACGGGGTACAGTGTGCTGTTTTCATATACATTTTGAAATACTCTCATCAAACTGGTTAACATAACCTTCATGTCATTCTCTTAGTCATTAAGTTAAGACCTTCATACTCTGCTTTTAGAAAGATTCACTTGTACCCTTGTAAGATAAACCATATAGGTGACCCCACCAATCACCCTCCCCTAATTTATTTTGTTAAGAATTTTTGCATATGTATTCATAAGGAATATTGGCATGTAGTGTTATTTTCTATATTATCTTTGCCTGGTTTTGGTATCAGGGTATTATTAGCTTCATAAAATGAATTAAGAATTCTCCTTATTTTCTGGAAGAGATTGCGTAGAATTGATATCAATTCTTCTTTAAAAATGTGGCAGAATTCTCCAGAGAAACCATGTGGTCAAGGAGGTTTCTTTTTTGTGAGTTTAACAATTATGAATTCAATGTCCTTTAGAATTATTGGGATATGCAATTTATTTTATATTGGGTGAGTTGTGATAGTTTATGATTTTTTAGGAATTGGTTCATTTCCTCTAAGTTGTCAAATTCATGTGCATAAAGTTGTTTGTAGGAGTCCTTGGTTATCTTTTTGATGTCTGCAGGATCTTTAGTGATGTCTTCTGTTCCCTTATGGATATTGTCAATTTCCTGGGAGTGGTTTGTATTTAATATGTGTGTATTTTTAACACAAATTATATATTGTGGTTCAGCACCTGTGGCTCAAGTGGCTAAGGCACCAGCCACATACACCTAAGGTGGCGGGTTTGAATCCAGCCCAGGCCCGCCAAACAACAATGATGGCTGCAACCAAAAAAAATAGCCAGGCATTGTGGCAGGCACCTGTGGTCCCAGCTAATTGGGAGGCAGAGGCAGGAGACTCACTTGAGCCCAGGAGTTGGAGGTTGCTGTGAGCTGTGATGCCACAGCACTCTACCCAGGGGGACAGCTTGAGGCTCTGTCTCAAAAAAAAAACCCAACAAACCAAATTATATATCCGTAAATTCCTTTTATAAAATTTTAACAATTCAGAGCATGAAGTATAAAGAGGAAAATCCTCTCTCACTGTCTGTTTTTCCCTCTCCTCCTTCTCCTCGGCCAGGGGTAATGAGTGTTTGGTCTGTCCAGGACTGTGGCTCCTACCTCCGAGGAGTACTCTGCCTGGTGGACACTCTCTACAGAGCCTTCAAGGAGCATAAGGCATTTTGATGGTAGAATTGGTGATGGAGGAGTCACAGGGAGGAGTGGAGGGAAGGCAGAGGGAGGAATAAGTGGGCATTTCTGTCTGCTGTGAGAGTCTCGGTCCCTTCTGCTTCTGCAGTGTCTCCACAAGTTCTCCAGGCTGCTGCCTCAGGGCAGACTTAGTGTGGGCTCTTTTGGTGAAGTACCAGATAAAGGAGTCTAGAAGCCTAGCTTCTGGAGAATATCTGATCCGCCAGCAAATCCTGATGTTTGTTCCTTACAAATATGCCCAGAAAATGATCGTTATCTATTATTTTCACAACTAACACAGTGATCAAAACCACTTTTATCTCTCTGTCCTGGATTATTGCAATAAGCCCACCGTTGTCTCTGATTCTGCCTTTGTCTCCTAACAGTCTTTTCTCAACAGAGTCACCAGAGCGATATTTTAAGATACAATTTCTTGGTCAAAACTCTCCCAGCTTTTCTTGTCAGGAGGTAAAAGCCAGAGTCTGAGCAGCTGTCTGTGATCCGGCCTCTCCTGAGCTCTCCCATCTCAGCTTTTACCACTCTCTCCCTCCTTGGGCTCTGGCCACCCTGGCTGCCTTCCTGATATTCAAACATGCCAAGGAACCCCTGAGCCAGGACTCCAGCCTCTTTCTTTTGTCTGGAAGATATTACTTTGGCTATAAAGCTCCTTACTGTGCTCAGGTCTGTGCTGAAATGGGGCCTTTTCATTGAAGGCTTCCATGACCTCCTGTTTAACACAGACATGCCCCCACTTCCTGTAGTCCCAAATCCAGTCTCTTGGTTTATTTTTCTGCATGGTATTTATCAATATCTAACCTACTACCTATTTTACTTATTTAAAAAAATCATCTCTCCTCTCACTCTAGAATGAAGAGAAAATATTTTATTTGTTTTCTCCTTCCTTAGCTGTTCACCTATAGGGTCCAGCGTGCCTGGCACATAGTAGGCATTCAACACGTACTTACAGAATGAAGAACTAATAAAGAAATGAAGGAATGGCTGAAGTGTGTTCCCAGCTAGCTTTGACTTTCTGTGACAAACTCCGTTGGTCCCAGTTTAGAAAATCTTATCTTGTGCCGCCAGCATCATCTTTCCTCTTCTGGAGAGAGATTCAGTTCTTTCAGAAATTCAGGATCTAAGAAAGGTGCTTTAAGAATCATCCACTTTGGAGTCATAGAATTAGGACTTCTAATGAAATCTTAATTTCGAATAGAGTAATGATCGTTATGGTTGCTAATGCTATTTTGTAAAAGGCCGGTGGGAACATTATAATGGGATGATCGAGCTGGCAGCACCTGAACCCACGCATCAGTGCCACTAAAAATGAGCCAGTTTTATGTGGTTTCAGTTGTGATTCAATAGCAGGTACACCACCTATAAAATAATCTTGCAATAACGGGAAGTTGAATCCAAATCTAATTAATTTCCCGGATCTAATCCCCTGTTCATGGGACAAAACAGCTAATAGGGGGACATTTTAAATGACATCAGAAGAATGCACCCAACCATTTTCACACTGCAGAAAATTCTACAGGATACATCACTTAGTTTTTCCAAGTAACAAGTGCCTTATAAAGGGAAGGAGATGTGCTGTAGACTAAATGATATATTGACCGACTGCAATGTGTAGACCTTCTTTGGATCTTGATTTTGATGATCTAGTCATAAAAAGATATTTTAATACATTTGAAGGAAATTGAGTATGGCTTGGTTGTTAAATGATATAAAGAAATTATGATTAAGTCTGGTGAGATAATGATATTTCTGTTATATTAAAAAAAGTTCTTAAATTTTAGCGATGTGCACTGCTGCATTTGAGAGGATACAACATGGTGTCTGGGGTTTGCTTTCAAATTCAGCACTCCACTCCCCTTGCCCCAAACCCCTTAACTAAAAGAAAATAACAACAGAGAGGGGGGGTGGGTGTGCGTTTGAGGAGGCAGCATGGATGGAACAAGAACGGCAGAATATTGATAATTGTTGAAACTGAATGATGGGTACTTGGAACTGTATTCCCATTATACAATTCTTTTTTTTTTTTT